AACATAAAGTCACAATTTGTAACGGGTAATTATAACAACAAGGAACAAAAATAAGTATTTCGTAGAGACTGGTGTCCGTACTAGGATACCCTGTGCTACAGCACACCAGGCCTCCACCACCGGCTAATCGATACTGCGTGGTTGTGTTAATCTATTTAAGGTAAGTATTTTATATTAGAAACAAACTAAAAATAAAATAAATAAAAAAATAGAATGATAACATGTGATTTACACAAATAGGCAAAATAAATGATAAGAAGTACTATTTCAAAAATTTAAACTTTAACTTTAAAAGCAATCTTTCTTTCTAATCTTTTGTGTAAGAAAGAAAGATTGCTTTTAAAGTTAAAGTTTAAATTTACTGCTTTGAAAATAATAAATTACGTTTGAATTAACTGCTTTGTAGTTTGACATCAGTTTCAATTTCCAGAAGTAAGTTAATATTATTGGACCTTAAGACAATGTAGTAAGATTCAAAACTAGTAAATAACGCCTTTCTACTTACCCAAAGTCCCAGTCCAAATAATACAGATGATCATGATCTGGCCGGTATAAGCCAGGTAGTGCCGTCTCTCTCGCTCCTTCCGCCAGTGGAATAACTCCGTCCCTACCGCGAAGGTCATCTTTTGTAAGCAGTCGAACGCTATGGCGCCGGCCAGGACGATTAGACTGTATGCTGGGTACAGGAATCTGAAACGTGTTACGTAATCAATAAGGATCATTGTGGAAAAAATATTTTATAAAAAGTATGAAGAATTTACTATCCCAACTAATATTATAAATGCGAAAGTAACTCTGTCTGTCTGTCTGTTACGCTTTCCCGCTTAAACCTCGCAACCGATTTTGATGAAATTTGGCATAGAGATAGTTTGAGTCCCGGGAAAGAACATAGAATAGTTTTTATCCCGGTTTTTGAAACAGGGACGCGCGCGATAAAGTTTTTCTGTGACAGACAAAATTCCACGCGGGCGAAGCCGCGGGCGGAAAGCTAGTTAATAATAAAATAACGAAGCCTTTTATCCGGACATAGACAAGACAAGAAATTACTATTGTAATGTAAATTAATGGAAAATTATATGACTCTTTTATAATGCAAATTATAAGTTCCAGTAGGCGATGACACGGCGCTGTCCACGTAGGGGCCAAAGTCCACGAACCGTCCCACGTAGTCTGTAGTTGCTGGATCTTTTCGCGGCGAGTAAAGGACCAAAATGTAGGGGCCTCGACCGGGAATTGATGAAATGAAGAACGTAGTGGACTGTATTACAGGTTTATTGAGACTACGTTAAACACAGTTTGGCAATTACAAGCAAGGGAGCGCGCGCGGTGTCTGCGGTGGCGTGAGGTGAAGTGAGCGGCCGATCGCCGCGCCTCTGGGCCGAGAGCAGCCGAGGGCAGCCGAAGGTGCTCGAACAGGTACCAAATAAATGTTTTTTCTTTCTTTCTTTCTTTCAAATTGATAGGGACTGGAACTGATTGCATAATGTTATCTTCCCCGATCTTTAAACAGCAGAGGCCTCAAAATGCTACCCTGAGGAACTCCAAGGCTCCAGAATGTTACCCTGAGGAACTCCGCTATTGTTTAAGATATTATTAACTTTCAAGGGACATTTACTATGATTTGTTCTTCTTTTGTCTATTTAAGGCTGAGTTGCACCACCGAACTTTAACGGTAACTATAACGATAACCGGTGCTTTTTGTATGGAGTGACAGATTTTTCGATCAAAGTTAAAATAAGAGGCGCAACTCAGCCTAAGTGTATTGTTACTAGGTGTACTGCTACGGGAAGTTTTCGTTACCAGCTCGGCTGGTGATTTTGTGATGACCTCTGTTCCTAATGCAGTTGCATCATGAAGACTGCCAGCGAGTGTGATGATGATGATGATTATTACAGGTATTGATGATGATTTCCCATTTGACCAGCGTTAAGAGGGCAGGCCTAATTTTCTATTTGATCGTGCTCGTGCAGGGAAGAGTAAATGACCTGATGATGATGATGATGATGATGATGACGCACCTCTCCTCCTTGTGTGGCTGCGGCATGAAGACGGCCAGCCACAGCGCGAGCGGCATGAGGTCGAGCCAGTAGGGCGAGCAGAAGTGATGATGATGATGATGATGATGATGATGATGACCCACCTCTCCTCCTTGTGTGGCTGCGGCATGAAGACGGCCAGCCACAGCGCGAGCGGCATGAGGTCGAGCCAGTAGGGCGAGCAGAAGTGATGATGATGATGATGATGATGATGATGATGATGACCCACCTCTCCTCCTTGTGTGGCTGCGGCATGAAGACGGCCAGCCACAGCGCGAGCGGCATGAGGTCGAGCCAGTAGGGCGAGCAGAAGTGCGCTCGCATAGAACGGTGGTACATCGCGGTGCAAGCCAGGAGTAGCAGCGGACTGGATAGGGCTAGCACCTGGAGAACAGTATAAATAAACCTATATTTAGTGAGCCACCAGTGTAGCAAGACCCTAAGGCTGGTTTTAGAGTCACGCTGACGGACGCTGACCGTAAGCGCTGACAGCCGAAATGTGTGAACTGTCGGCGCCGAGCGATCAGCGTCACTCAGGAACGTTCCCTGTCAGATCTGTCAGCGCCGACGGTCAGCGTGCGGTCAGCGCGACTCTAAAACCAGCCTTAGACCTGGTTCAGACACGCGGGAACCATGCGGGTTTTGTGTGGTTCTCATTAGCGAGGCACTGAGGCAGTCTAGTCAATAAGCCTAGGCGCAGACCACCAACTTTTAGTTGGCTGATAGTTGGGCCCGATTCTAATTTGTATGAAGAATCGGCCGATATCAAATCGGTGTAATGCCCACTTTCATAGTTCTCCATACTGATTAACATCCCGACCCAACTATCGGCCAACGAAAACTCGGTGGACTGCGCCTAGACTAACCGTGCGATTACAGTTTGTTTTTGATGCAAATGCACGAGAACTAAGATTCGAAACGACAAATTAATTTTGTGTTGGAAACTCATCTATCCATTCATTTGGCCCATTTTTCGAAGGCTATAAGCATCACCTATTAAAATCACTACGACCCGCTAAGAGTGGAGCATCAATAAAAAATGTTGCAAAAACGGGATAAGTTATTCAAACAATTTTCACTCGTACGAAGTCGCACACTGGTAAGTGTGATGACACACAAGGTTCGACAGTGCGTTGCGTCGGCACTGCACATCTTATCAGTCTTATTTACAATATTTACATCATCTAAATTCTAAACAGTATACGACCACTCACCCAAACAACATTGAAGTTCAAGAACCCATTGACGAAGTAATAAGTCCATGGTTCCACACCATACAAATCCGGTCCATGATCAGTGAAGATGTTGTACGCCACAATATTCCATGGCGCCACCACCAGTCGGCCATAATGCCATGAATCGATGATGACGGTGGGAGTCAGGATGACGACGAGGGAAATGGCTGACCACTTGAAGAACTCCACGTATTGCCGCTTTATGAAGAGCATGTCTATTGCTATGGGCACGCCGAGAAGCGCTGTGAAGGGCCAGCCTGGAAAATTAAGTAATTTAAAATTAATAAACTCGTATTTTAGAGAAGGAATGTTAATAATTTGTCAGTTTGTTATATGAGGTAATTTTGTTAATAACAACTATCCTCCAGAAGAATAAGGTGTAAATAAATATCCCATTAAAAACAATACTTGTCAAAAAAACCAAGTCTCGCAACTCAGTTGTTCTACGGTAAAAAGTTGTGAGATCCATGTAATACCAAGTCCAGGCCAGGAAATCTTTAACGTTTTACATAAATATATTGACTTGGCCATCGCATGAAAACACGTGTAAATTAAATTATTTAGTGCGATGGCCAAGTCAATAATTTATGTAAAACGTTAAAGATTTCCTGGCCTAGACTTGGTATTACATGGATCTCACAACTTTTTACCGTAGAACAACTGAGTTGCGAGTCTTGTTTTTTTTGACAAGTATTGTTTTTAGTGGGATCTCATTTCTTTTTTGTATTTTGTAGACAGCAGTTATGTATCTAGAAAACTGGACCGAAATTGAAAAATTTTACTCGGCTTGGCGGTTGCACTACCGTGCCCCCAAATATTTTAGTTTTTCCTTGATTCATACACCAAACACTACTTATATTCCAAATTTGAAGCTTCTAGGTCTGCTAGAAGTGCCTTAGAATTTTGATGATCGGTGAGTGAGTCAGTCAGTCAGTCAGTCAGTCAGTCAGTGAGTGACAAAATTAAGAAACTTTAACCCGTTATAATTCTTAAACTACTGGTTCAAATTGAATGAAATTTGAAATATACCGTGTCTTTACAATGCCTGCATAACTAATGAAAATTCAGCCTTCTAGTTTTATCCACAACGAAGTTACAGGCGGTCGAAAATGGCCTGAATTGCTTCGAGAAAAGGATGGTACGGCCGTGCCGCTTTTTTGCTCGACTTGGTGGGGACACTGCCGTGCCCCCAGATTGTATAGCGGCGATTTCACATGCACACTAGCACCCCCTTTGTTATGAAATGCCACAATTTATCTTCAAGTGTCTCAGATTTGCGTAGAAGTTATAGAAGTGTACCGTAAAAGGCATCAGACTTTTGTCAGAGTGGTCGTGGTTGCGCTGACGAGGTACATAGTGGGGTAATGTCATCCCCGAGGGTATCCTGGCGATGTGCTTCCATTTCTGACGGTTAGAGGCGTCGCGAGCACACTGGACCATGGTGGACTCAGTGGCCTTTGTGATGGCGTCTATCCAGCGGGTTGGCGATCGATGCTCTCTTGCCTTCAACCTGGCCCTGAAGTACCGGTCTCTCCATCGAATTCTCATTTCTAGAGGCGTGACCAAAGAACCCAGTGTACTCACTTATGATCACGGAGGAGGGTGAAGAAGAGCGGGGCCTAGTGCGCGCCCCAGCAGTATTTGTTCGTTTCAGCCAAATGACGTCCACCGCTGGACAAAGGCCTCCCCCAAGGCTTTCCACAATGAACGGTCCTGCGCTGCCCGCATCCAGGCTCTTCCCGCGACCTGTACTAGATCGTCGGTCCACCTAGTAGGAGGCCTGTCCACGCTACGTCATCCAGCCCGTGGTCGCCACTCGAGAACCTTTCTGCCCCAACTGCCGTCGTCTCTACGAGCTATGTGCCCCGCCCACTGCCACTTGATTTTAGCAATTCTGCAAGCTATATCGGTTACTTTGGTTCTCCTACGGATCTCCTCATTTCTGATTGGATCACGCAGGGAAACTCCGAGCATAGCCCGCTCTATCGCCCTTCGGGTGACCTTGAGCCTCTTTATGAGGCAGCAGTGTACTCACTCATGATCGCTAAAGCGATCGACCGCGTGCTCTCTTGCCTTCAACCTGGCCTTGAAGTACCGGACCGGTCTCTCCATCGAGTTCTCGTTTCTAGAGACGTGACCAAAGAACGCAGTGTACTCACTTATGATCACGGAGGCCGCGGTCAAAGCCACGGCCGGTGGGTACCGGCGGCGCCACCAGCAAGCCAGCGCGGCGCCGCCCAACGCCAGGCTCCATGCTGAAGGCAGCATGGCCGCACCCGCCGCCCACGCGCCCGCCGCTGGGAGGGTAAAGAAGAGCCATAGCCGGCCTACGTGGACGCCGAACTCGTGGCATATGGCTCTGAGTGATAAATAAGACACAAATTCTTTTTAAGTAAGTCTGTAAAGAAATCGGTGTGTTTTTTTAGTGATAACTGTGTTACTTGTACTGCAACCGGAGTAGTATTGCTGTGTTATAGTAGTGCCTCTTGCCCTCCGAGTATTCACGGAAGACCAGCGTCGTGGTGTCCCTTACGACACCTCGACATGATGCTGAGTGGATACCGTTTCGGTGACACGCACATTACCTACTCTCTTTACTTTTGTTAAATATTTTTGATTTTTGTCGCTGAATAAAATATTTCATTTTCATTTTTTTTACTTCACTGGTTGAGTTTTTATTGGCGGTCAAGCTGTAGATTCTTTTTTACCATAAACCAATATTGACCTTCACTGGTTGGGTTTTTATTGGGGTCAAGCTGTAGATCCTGGCTACACAGGAGTTGCAGCGGTGGGAACGAGAGGTGCGAATAGTCCCGTTTATTACTTATAAAAGTTCGGGAGCTTAAGATACAAGTTCGAAGTCAATTACACACACAACAGTAGGCGACTCATAGATAAGTGGCAAAACTTGCGAGTTGAAATTTCAAAAGGTCTTCGCTCGGGCGTTTTTTTTTGTACAGAGTTACTTAGCTCCGTGAAGGAATTAGATTTTCGGGGCGATGAAAAAGTGCCACTTGTTTAGGTAGGCTGGTTTCTATTTGTTTCTATATCTTCAGTGACATGTCGAATCGAAGGGAACACAAGAAATACATAAACAATCGTAAAAGAGAACACAGGCCATAAGTATAAGAAGGAATTGCTATTCTAACGCCAAAATCGGTCATTATTTTGCAGGTCATTAAAAACTTACAACTCGCCTTGCAACCTTGGTACAGTGACTTTTAGACTGTTTTGAAACTAAATAGAGTTAAAATATACTTATATTCTTTAAATAATAATAGTAGAAATTCAATAAAACATCAATGAACTTTCTACATAAACAAATTTCAACTTACTTATAAAACATAAGTTCGGCACAAGCGGTCAGAATAGCCAGGATGTGTCTCAATGCGTAGAACACTGCGACCGGAGTCATCATTGTGGAGAGTATCTTGCCTGGGACCGCAAACAGCCAGAGGGGCATGTACGATCGGATCGCGTATGCCGGACTGTACTCCCATGTTTGAAGACCATTGCCGTACACTGTAACAGTAATAGTAACAGGCGAATTTAAACATGTTGAAGGGAAATTCGAGTAAAGTTATCATTGCTAAAATTCATTGAAGTATTTATAATACTACTTCGTACTGCCTATGTTCATCAGGGATTGTACGCCCTTATTTTGTCTAAGTATCTATTGTTAGGCAGGGCTAGGGCTCTAGGGACTTAGTGTCTTAGGGAATAGGGACTCTAGGCTCACTAGGGAGTTAGTTCCCTTCCTGACCGCATATCCCGGGCACGAGAGCGGTCCCTTACAACCACTGCCTCCCGCCTGTACAGGGATAAATAGGATTCTAATTTTTCAAATCGGTCCTGTCCAGTAGTTTTGGAGCCTATTAAATTAAATACAAACAATCAAATCATTCCTATTTTAGAAATATATGTGTAGATGTATTTACATCTACACATATATTATATTTATATTTATAAAGGTTAAAATATCTTGCCCAACAGCAAATCTTGACCTCAAGTAGAAATAGTAGGAAATAATAGAAATTTTCTTAAAAGTAGAAACAAACCTAAGTAATGCAGAGGTTCCCAGTAGTTGTAGGTCTCGTCACAATCCGATATGTGGCCGTATTGTGCTGACAAGAGCCGGACAGTGAGCAACAAAACTAAAGCCAATGCCCCACCCGGGTATCCTATGCTACGAAGATCTGACGGTGCACTGGTCACGAGGTATTCTCTGTAAAATCAAAAAGGTATGGCTGGGATACACTATCTTACTTCAACTTAAACAAACATCAAACGCCTGTCAAACTACAAAAAACACGGGTTTTGGTTATAATTACGGTTAAAGTAAAGTGGTGCAATGAGGATCAGTACTGTTGTAGAAAATTCAATAAAACTAGTATCTACGTTAATCTTTAAGACATAAGAAAGATATATCTTTTTGAATTATCCAAATCGGACCATTACTTACGAAGATATTAAGTAATAAACATAGGCCGTTTTTGCCGCTAAAAGTCAACGTACGCAGGGCCGCGTGACGTCACTATATCCGAATCAAGCGCAGCCGGCGTACTATTGGGATGGAAAATATTTTTTTCCAGCTAAACTATCAGTTTTAGAAAAAAACTTTTAATAACATTTATTCTGATTGTGTAAGGTTGTTCATGGATGGAAAATGAATACAATTGATCATCTAAATTCGAAAAGTGACCAGTCGTATAAAAACGTTTCATGGATTTGCGTTTTATTATCGAAAAACATTCGCTAAAACTCATTTTTTTTAACAAATAATAAATCAAATTCAAGTTTAAATGCACTTTATGACATAATTTTTAAATTGTCACTATTAATATTTTTTACTGAATAACCTGTAAAGTTAGTTCTACAATTTCTGAAAAATCACCTAAAAGTAACCTTTTCATTAGTGTAACCTAAAAGTAACCACAGCAGTTCAAAAGTAACCTAAAAGGTTACAAAAGTAACCTTCTGGCAACACTGCTTCAGCTGTCAATATGACATTATGTTGACTGTTTACGAAGATAGTTGTTTCCACAAAAAACCTCAGGTAAAAGTCGCATCAATGGAATGGACCCTTAAATAAAAAAAACACATTGATTAATCAAACAAAAAAAAAGAAAGTCAGTCAAGTCAATTTCAATTTTGAGAGGTTACCCCAGAAATGAGCGTGTGATTTTGGGTTTTGTTTACGAAAATACGATTTTCTGTATTGTATTTAAACAAGTTTAAGTGAAAATATGTTGTACGACGATTTCAAACCTATAGTCGATTTGGTGTTAAATAACTGGACAGCCTTACAACTTGCGGTTGAACATGGCATGGGCGCACCAGGCGGGGAAAAAGTATGTAAAATAATGTAAATATATGTAAATGATTTATTAATTCGTTTAAATTAGCAAAAAATAAGTTATAATTTCAAAAAACATAACATACAATTTCGTTACAAATAAATTTCAATAAGCTTACCCTTACTCAAAAATCAGACACTAACTTGTGCTATTTTATTTTGTAGCTTCCTAATCATATTCATATTATTTATTTGCTTACTAAGTGTAGGTACTTAAGGTCTTTTAACTAAATACAGTGCTTAAAACTTAGTAACCTAGTTGAGGTATTGGTACTATTGAGGTATAATTTAACCCAAATATTATAGAGATTCCAAAAATACTAAGAATAACGTTTTAACTTCCAGACTGCCCAGCTGATGTCAGTTTACATAGCAAGGTTTTGTGTGGAGAATGTAGTAGACATCCCAGAACTAACAGAAGTTATTGAGGATCTTATGGACGAAGAATTTGATACCGTATGCCATGATAACTCGCCAAAAGGTTTGTTGATTTTGCAATAACTTTGTTTTTAAAAATAGTGACTGAGTTTCTAGTGCTGCTTCTTCTCAACACTGGCCCATATTACTGTCCTGGAGCAGTGGTAGGGTTGGGACGTATAAAAGTGCTCTTTTGCACCATTCTTGTGGTGGAGTTTTGGGCTGACGCTGTGTAGGTTTGTTGTCGACAGGACAAGAAGAAGAAAGTGCTTTTTGGGAGCTTACTTGCATAAATAAATGATTTAATTAAATTGATTTGATTTATAGTTTATTTAATTAAAAATCTGTATGCTTAACCCTGACTGTAATTTACAGAAATAGCATCAGTGCTCCTTATGTTCCTGAGTTTGCTGAAGGAGGGCCAGCACGATGAGCTGAGAGCTAGAATCGAAGCTATGCCCAAGTGCCAGAAGTGGCTCAGTCAGCCGATACATGAATCGGTACCTCCTCAAGTAAGTTGTTACTACATGCATTATTTTATACGTTAATGTAATTTAAGTACCTACAGACTAAAGAGCTTCTCAGAGGGGTATTCTCTAAGACAGTGGCCGGCCACTTTAGCTAGGCCCGGTGGAATTCCAAAGGTTGATGATGAAATAATACAAAATATTTAAAAAATGTTTTTCAAAAAATCTAACATTTATATCTAATATCCAATCATTTTAGAACAATAACATACAACTTTAACATTAACAATAATATGCATATTACCACTTTCAGTACCATGGGAATCCAGATGACGACACAACTAGTAGCAGTGGAGAAGATGATGACCAAACAAATGGAGAAGTAGCTTCGTCTTCCCACCAAAATAACGAACCTGAACCAATGGATGAAGACGTTGAACCCGGCTGGACGGTAGTACGGACACGGAGGAGGAAATAGACTAGCAACATAATAACTCATATTATAAGTTTGTTATCAGTTTAGATTCACGATAGATGAATGGAAGAGACCGTTTTGTCAGCTTCTGTGAAAAACCAGCTTAATGGCAAGTGTACACTTTGTGTGATAGTGGTTAGAGTGTAATGATTATGACACCTCTAGTCACGTTTAGATGCTGAATAAATATACAGCAACTAATCAACTTAATACTGATATTTTTACAATATAATGCTCTGGCACCTTACAAGCAAAGTAGATTGTGAAAATTTGAAAAAAAACTGTAGATTAGTTTTAATATAAAACTTTTTATTGATCAACAAAAGTAAATAATTCCTCAATCAAGTACCTACCTGTATAGATTTTATATGTATAGAAGTAGTACTTGCATTAAATAGAATGATTGTAATGTAATAATATTAATATGCTTGTTAAAGTGAATGTTAGCTAAATTGTGCTAGCCTTACTTAGGGTGCAACTTAGGATCATGCAATAAATATTATAGATATGTTTTGTATCTTGAATATGTATACTTTTAGCCTGTGAGAGGTAGACATTGATGTTTTAAATCATGATTGGTAGTAAGTAAGCTCTAAATCATAGATTACGTTACACAATGAGAATAATTATAACTTGTTTTAAAAATTCATATATTTTTTTGTTGAACTAAAATATTTGAATTATAAACACCACATATCACTATTTACTGAGATTAGTTTGCCTGATTCATAATAACAATCTATGTATGATTTGATTTGTTAGAAATCATAATTTACACATATTATTATGTACTTAGTATGTGAAGGTATAATTTATATTTTTGTAGATACCACAGGAGATGGAAACAATTTGCCTTTCTCTCATCTTAATAAAATATAGTTAATATTCAAAGCATATTTTAAGATCTAAAAGTAAAAATTATAGAAATATAGTTTCCAATCGTCTATTTAATACCAATTCTGTGTAAGTAGATAAAATTATTTTTACTTCGTTGATATTTAGGTACCTATGTACTAGTAGGTAAAAATGTTGCGTGTATTTATTTTTATTAAAGTAACGTATTTAAATGTTAATTGTCTTTTATTCCTATCAGAGATACAGGCCAAGAGCTTCCTCGTTGTGGATAAAAAAAATCCGAGCCCGAGGAAGGAAGCCCACGCTAGGTACACAGTAGAGGCCACAGATATGGTCCATATCTGTGGGCTGTGGCAGAGTCCCTAAGGCCGGTTGCTAACGAAACGATTTTTCGCTATAGCTAGACGGCATATCGAGATTGGGCTTGTTGAAGTCAACGGGTGTCGGATTCACTAACTCGTTCATCGGTCCATCCAACCAGTCAGGAGACAACGGTTACGAAATAGTTGAACAAATTTCGCTGGCACGGCGACCTAAGTCCGCCCCTGGTAAGATAGGCTGGAATTTAATGTGTCTTTGATTATTTTCTTAATTTGATTTTATTAAAATCAATTTTATCGGAATCAGTTTATCAAGAAACAATGGAAAGAAGAGTTAAATAAAGATGAACAGTTCGGGTCAACTAAATTCCTTGTCCCCCTGTTGTCCCCTCTATTTCAAACCTGGCTAAACTGTTCATCTCCAGTCAAAAAACACATTTTTTGATTGAACGTTAAAATATGAAATGTCATAAATTTTGAATGAGCGAATGGAGGAGGGAAAACGGAATTTTGCAGGGTGTGGAAACTTCC